TGATCGTATCTTCTATATGACTCATGCTCGACCTTTCGGTCTTCTGTGTTCCGAGGCCATGTATGTACATGCTAGGATCATCAAGTCAACCTAAGTGTTTGCATGTGTAAATCTGTCTTACACCCGTTGTATGTGAACGTTAGAATCTATCACACCCGATCATCACGTGGTGCTTCGAAACAAAGAACTGTCGCAACGGTGCACAGTTAGGGGGAACACTTGCTTGAAATTATTATGAGGGATCATCTTATTCACTACCGTCGTTCTAAGTAAACAAGATGCAAAAACATGATAAACATCACATGCAATCAAATAATAAAAGTGACATGATATGGCCAATATCACATAGCTCCTTTGATCTCCATCTTGGGGCTCCATGATCATCTTGTCACCGGCATGACACCATGATCTCCATCATCATGATCTCCATCATCGTGTCTCCATGAAGTTGCTCACCAACTATTACTTCTACTACTATGGCTAACGCGTTTAGCAATAAAGTAAAGTAATTTACATGGCGTTTCTCAATGACACGCAGGTCATACAAAAAATAAAGACAACTCCTATGGCTCCTGCCGATTGTCATACTCATCGACATGCAAGTCGTGATTCCTATTACAATAGCATGAACATCTCATACATCACATATAGATCATTCATCATTCATCACAACTTTGGCCATATCACATCACAAAACACTTGCTGCAAAAACAAGTTAGACATCCTCTAATTGTTGTTGCAAGTTTTACGTGGCTGCAATAGGGTTCTAGCAAGAACGTTTTCTTACCTACGTGAAAGCCACAACGTGATTTGTCAACTTCTATTTACCCTTCATAAGGACCCTTTTCATCGAATCCGCTCCAACTAAAGTGGGAGAGACAGACACCCGCCAGCCACCATATGCAACTAGTGCATGTTAGTCGGTGGAACCGGTCTCACGTAAGCGTACGTGTAAGGTTGGTCCGGGCCGCTTCATCCCACAATACCGCTGAAGCAAGAAAAGACTAGTAGCGGCAAGAAAGTTGACAACATCTACGCCCACAACAAATTGTGTTCTACTCGTGCATAAAGAACTACGCATAGACCTAGCTCATGATGCCACTGTTGGGGAACGTTGTAGAAAACAAAAAATTTCCTACGGTTTCACCAAGATCCATCTATGAGTTCATCTAGCAACGAGTGATCGGATGCATCTACATACCTTTGTAGATCGCGAACGGAAGCGTTCACTAGAACGTGGATGACGAAGTCGTACTCGCCGTGATTCAAATCACCAATGACCAAGCGCCGAACGGACGACACCTCCGCGTTCAACACACGTACGGAGCGGATGACGTCTCCTCCTTCTTGATCCAGCAAGGGGGAAGGTGAGGTTGATGAAGATCCAGCAGCACGACGGCGTGGTGATGGATGCAGGGCATCACAGTAGCAGGGCTTCGCCGTGTACTACGAGAGAGAGAGAGAGGTGTAGCAGGGGAGAGGGAGGCGCCAAGGATGCAGGGTGCGGCTGCCCCTCCCTCCCCTCCTTTATATAGGCCCCTAGGGGGGGGCCAGCCCCTTGGAGATTGGATCTCCCAAGGGGGGGCCGCGACAAGGGCTGGAGTAGCCCCCAAGGCAAGGTGGGGCGCCCCCCACCCCTAGGGTTCCAACCCTAGGCGCATGGGGTGGGCCTAGGAGGGCGCACCAGCCCACTATGGGCTGGTTCCCCTCCCCACTTTGGCCCATGGGGCCCTCACGGATGGGTGGCCCCACCCGGTGGACCCTCGGGACCCTTCCGGTGGTCCCGGTACAATACCGGTGACCCCAAAACTTTCCAGTTGGCCAAAACAGCACTTCCTATATATTATTCTTTACCTCCGGACTATTCCGGAACTCCTCGTGACGTCTGGGATCTCATCCGGGACTCCGAACAACATTCGGGTTACTGCATATACATATCTTTTCAACCCTAGCGTCACCGAACCTTAAGTGTGTAGACCCTACGGGTTCGGGAGACATGTAGACATGACCGAGATCGCTCTCCGGTCAATAACCAACAGCGGGATCTGGATACCCATGTTGGCTCCCACATGCTCCTCGATGATCTCATCTGATGAACCCCGTATACAATTCCCTTTGTCAATCGGTATGTTACTTGCCCGAGATTCGATCGTCGGTATCCCAATACCTCGTTCAATCTCGTTACCGGCAAGTCACTTTACTCGTACCGTAATGCATGATCCCGTGACCAGACATTTGGTCACTATGAGCTCATAATGATGATGCATTACCGAGTGGGCCCAGTGATACCTCTCCGTCATATGGAGTGACAAATCCCAGTCTTGATCCGTGTCAACCCAACAGACACTTTCGGAGATACCCGTAGTATACCTTTATGGTCACCCAGTTACGTTGTGACGTTTGGTACACCCAAAGCACTCCTACGGTATCCGGGAGTTACACGATCTCATGGTCTAAGGAAAGGATACTTGACATTGGAAAACTCTAGCAAACGAACTACACGATCTTGTGCTATGTTTAGGATTGGGTCTTGTCCATCACATCATTCTCCTAATGATGTGATCTCGTTATCAACGACATCCAATGTCCATAGTCAGGAAACCATGACTATCTGTTGATCAACGAGCTAGTCAACTAGAGGCTTACTAGGGACATGTTGGTGTCTATTATTCACACATGTATTACGATTTCCGGATAACACAATTATAGCATGAATAAAAGACAATTATCATGAACAAGGAAATATAATAATAACGCTTTTATTATTGCCTCTAGGGCATATTTCCAACACTACGGTGACATCTATTTAGGAAAGATGATAAGATTTTTACTATTTGTCCTCAGTGCATCTTTTGCATACATTATTTTTAAGCTAAACTTCATTGCTAAGTATGTTACTATACGATGTTCTTCAACAGGGACTCCCGTTGAATGTTGTGCCTCATTGGATCGAGACTAAAGGTCCCATGAGAATTGTTAGCTTACGGCCAAGATATCCTACAATGCTCTTTAGTGCATTCAGTATTTCTAATAGCGAGGAATGCTTAATAGTGAAAGATTGGAGTAAAATTGTGAACAATTGCAGAGAAATACTAGGGGGAAGCAATCAGAAGCGCAGCCCACGATTAGGAGACATGTTCATCTGCATGCTCCAACTTGATGAAGCAGGAGTGCTACACATGTTTTATGTTATTTTACCTGAGCGAGAGCAGCAGAAGTGATTAGCTAGCTAGAAATGAGTTATGATGATTAAATAGCTAGTGTTGGTGGTAATGACTATGATGATTATTATTAGCTAGTGTTGGTGGCGCTAAGATAGCTACCGCAGCTAGTGTTGGTGGTGATTAACTAGCTAGAATGAGTTTGAAGATGATGGTGTGTGCTACACTATGACTATGATGATTAAATAGCCACTGTTGATGGTAATGACTATGATGATGATTAAATAGCTTGTGTTGGCGGATTAGATTCAAGTGGAGGCAACATGTGATGCACATCGATAGTACCACTAGTCCAAACTAGATCACGTTTGAATTAGTAGTATACTTTTGACATGCACCACATGTTGCCTCCATTTGAACCTAATCCACTTTCATTTGACACACTGTTATGTACATATTGATATAACAACCTCATAATTGCTATTGTACCAAAATTTGTATAATGGCGTATAAATACACTAAAAAATAAAAAATGAAAAAAAATACTAGTAGCGATGAAGAGTAAACACGCAACTACTAACTATATTAGTAGTAGCGCGGGAGTGAACAAACGCTACGGCTATATATATCTTAGCAGTAGCGCGTGTAGTATGCGCTACTGCTAAGGAATAACTGTAGCGCCTTACTAGTAGTGCGGTGTCCCACGCTACTAGTGGACATTAAACATGCGCTACTAGTAGGGTTTTCCCTAGTAGTGCCTCTTCGCACTGACAAGAGTCGTCGACTTCATCAAACAGAACCTCGCCGACGAACAAGGAGGAGACAGACTCCCAACGCCAGTCACTCCCCGGCACACCTTGCAGGCACACACGAACCCGGTAGCGCAACGCCGCAGCAGAGGCAGAACGGAACCTGGTCCAGGGCGGCAGGTTGAAGGAGACCGGCCCTAGCACCAGCGGTCCACGCACCGCCAGAGCCCTAGCATGCACGGCCGGGTCAGCGAACCGGAAGAGTATCGTCGCCTTCCCTTTCCAGGCCACCGAGATGGTATCTTCCGCGGCCTGGAACCGGATCGCGAGGGCACGCTTGACGTCCACCAGCATCATCGAAGGGCAGGAGCCCACGACGACCACCACGACGGCCTGCTGGAGCGGCACCTGCTCCTCTTCGATCACCACGGATGTGCGCGGAGCGAACGCCGTGACCGGGCCGCGACGCTCATAGCCAGGGGCAGCCAGGTGAACGCGGGCTTCGAGAAAGCAATGTCCCGGCGGTCAGGGAAGGGTGCCGCAGGGCGGAAAGGAGGTGAAGGGAGCGACGGCGGGGGCGGAGGGGGGCGCAGGAGAGGGGCACATGGAGCCGGGGAACACTGCCTAGCCCTTGTGACCGAGCTCGCCGCAGAGTAGGCACTTGGCTGGATTGCGGCAGCTAGCAATGTGGTGGTTGGGGGAGAGGCAGCGGAAGCATTTACCACGGGCCAGCTTAAGAAGAAGATGCCTGAAGCAGCAGAGATCACCGACAGCATGCCCATGCCTTGGCCCGGAGTTACTTCTCTTCTTGGTGCCGTCTACCAGCTGCCACCCGTCCGCATCAATGCGGCGCCCGGCCTCGTCCATAAGAGAGACCTCTGAGCGGATGCGCATGCGCTGGGACGCAGGCGGTCAGCTAGCTGAAAGATAGCACTCCTTTCCGCTGGTCTAGGTGCATGCATGCACATGGAGACATTCATGGAGCGCCTACAGAATCAAGCATATGTTTTTTCGGCCAACAAAAAATACATTATCTTCTGACAAGCTATGTCCACCATATATTACGGTCCATTAGTTGATTGCATGTGCAATGGAGCAATTGACCCAGCGAAGAACAATGGCCGCGCCGCTGTGGTTGCAGCTTCTTCTCTGCATCGTTGCCGTCGCCTGCGTGCTCCAAGCTCGCGCCCAGCCTGATAGCAAAGGTACGTACGCCTGGCCACTCACTGATTCGTGCAACATCATTATAGCATATGGGGTAGAAATCACAACGGGATGCACTGATCGCGTGATGACTGATGACTGCGCCCTGCACTGCAGGATTCATAACCATAGATTGTGGTCTCTCGGAGGAGATGGGCTACGTGGACAACGCCACCAAGCTCTCGTACGCCCCCGACGCTGGCTTCATCGATGCCGACACCGGCACGAACCATATTATCTCGCCGGAGTACGTCATCCCGGCTTTGGCCAAGGTTTGGTACAGTTTGCGTAGCTTCCCAACTGGCGTGCGGAACTGCTACACGCTTCGCTCCCTCATGCCCGGGCTCAAGTACATGATCCGAGGGAGGTTCAAGTACGGCAACTACGACGGCCTCGACCGTCTGCCAGTGTTTGACCTCCATATCGGCACCAACTACTGGCACACCGTGAACATCACCGACTCGAAGGATGCGGTGTTCGTCGAGGCCATCGTGGTGGTGCCGGAGGACTTCATGCAGGTCTGCCTGGTGGACACCGGTGGCGGTACGCCGTTCATTTCTGGCTTGGACCTGAGGCCGCTGAAAAGAACGCTCTACCCGCAGGTGACCCCGGCACAGGGTCTGGTCCTATTTGCCAGGCTCAACTTCGGCCCGACCAACGAGACCTTCTACGTCAGGTATCCCGATGATCCACACGACCGGATATGGAGGCCTTGGGGCGACAAGGTAATGTGGACCGAGATATCAATGGCCAGCGGGGTGCAGAACATAGCCAACGAAGACTTATTCGAGGCGCCCACGGCGGTGTTGAAGACGGCGATCAAGCCTCGGAACGCCTCTGGGAACTTAGAATTCACCTGGTACCCCGTGCCCACCCCCAAAGACCCGTCCCCCGGGTACATTGCCATCCTGCACTTCGCCGAGCTAGAGGTCCTACCCAACAACACTGTGCGCCAGCTGAACATCACCGTCAACAGCAAGCCGTTGTATTTGTATACAAGCGACATCGCGCCGGATCGTATCTATGATATCGCCCTCTACAACAGTGGCGCCTTCATCCGTCACAGCAACTACACAATCTCCATCAACGCCACGGCTAACTGGACGTTGCCGCCTATCATCAACGCGGCCGAGATCTTCTCCCTCATCCCCACCACCAACCTTGGCACGGACTCCCTGGATGGTACGTATGTGTGTGCGTGAATGAGCTAGCAGTATGGGTAAGCACATCTTTTGTGGTACTGAAATTACAATGCGATTAACTGCAGTTTCTGCAATCATGGCGATCAAGGCGAAGTATCAAGTGAAGAAGAACTGGATGGGTGATCCGTGTGTTCCGAAGACGATGGCATGGGACAGGTTGACCTGCAGCTACCCACCTGGCAGCCCACCAAGGATCACAAGCGTGTAAGTACTTCCTCATCTGTACCTATGCTCACTTGTGTTCATGAAATAATGAACGGAAAATCAAAAAGGTCGCATATAATTGTCGTGCAGCGTGGAGTGAAACTGATCCACTTCATTTGCTCCCTGCAGAAACCTGTCCTCCAGTGGTCTAAATGGTGATATATCACCATCTTTCGCGAATCTGAAGACAGTCCAATACCTGTACGTTTGGAGTTTTCCACTCCATCCATCCCATAATATAATGTGCAAGTTTGCTAAAGTCAAACATCACAAACTTTGGTCAAATTTATAAAGAAAATTATCTATATCTACAATATCAAATATATTTCATGATAATTTTTTCTACAAACTTGATCAAATAATGTTACGAAGTTTGACTTTAAAAACTAATATAAACACACTATATTTTCAGATGGATAGATCAAGTATCTATTTTGACCCAGTTTGTATTTGTTTTTTGTTTGCAACAAAAAGTATATGAAATAAGATTGTGTTTCGTCTCTTGCAGGGACCTGTCAAACAATAACCTTACAGGCTCCATTCCAGATGCTCTTTCGCAATTACCTTCACGGACGTTTCTGTAAGCACAGAAACTTTCTTTGAAATTTTAAACTATTCGCACGAGTTGCCATTTGAATAGGTTGAGTGTTTTGTTTCCATAGAGATGTTTCAGGCAACCAGCTAAATGGGTCGATCCCCTCTGGACTCCTCAAGAGAATTCGAGATGACTCTCTGGATCTAAGGTACGAGCCTTTTCAATTTCTTCGCATTCTATTTGGCAATGATACTTGGAATTGCATTAATATCTTCCGTTGCATATCTTGTTAGATATGGCAACAATCCAAACCTCTGTACCAACGGTAATTCATGTCAGCTGCCTGCTAAAAGGAACAACAAGCTAGCCATCTACATTGCTGTGCCCACAGTTCTTGCGGTGATAGTATCAGTGATATTGCTACTGATTTGCTTGCTAAAACGAAAGAAGCAAGGTGAGGCTTCTGCAGCACCACAACAATCCATTAATAAATTTCCCCATATGTCAGCACCAATTAATAGTTGCTAGTGCCATTCACCATCTGTGAAGGTTCAATGAACAACTCCATTACGCCCCGGAATGAGACAATGACAACCAATGCACCGGGAAACAATGTCTGCACCGACAGTTCGCTGCAGCGTCTTGAGAACCGTCGGTTCACGTACAAAGAGTTAGAGAAGATAACGAACAACTTTCAGCGAGTGCTGGGACGGGGAGGATTCGGGTATGTCTACGATGGCTTCTTGGAGGATGGCAACCAGGTGGCAGTGAAGCTGCGGTCTCATTCTTCCCATCAAGGCGTCAAGGAGTTCCTCGCAGAGGTATACTTTCTGTCAGTACGCTTGATGTTCCAGAGTTCGAGAGATTTCAGAGTGAAATTTGATAAGTTGTATATGAACATTTCTCTAGGCTCAAATTTTGACACGGATTCACCACAAGAATCTTGTCTCCATGATTGGTTATTGCAAGGATGGAGAGTACATGGCACTTGTCTATGAGTACATGTCGGAAGGAACACTGCAAGAGCATATTGATGGTATGCACATTGTCTAGCAGTTTTTTTTTTGACTTATGAAGATTTCAGTTGGTGGTCTCACTCCTTTTCCAACCTCCCCATTATTTCGTCCCTCACAAGTGGCCCCATGCAAGACCACCAGCATGACGATCCTTTCTCCCAAATCCTTGTACTTCTTGTGCCTCTCCTACCCAAATCCCCTCCTACCACCCTGCATCACGCACCCGCTACCCCACCCCCACCCTCAATTTCTAATATATATCTTCCTGGCTCAAAACCTAAATGACAACTATGTAGACCTTCATTCTCGACAAAGCTCATTGAATCTTGAGAGCAAACACTTATATCCTAGCCTATCGAGGTTCATTCGGTGTATAAACCTTGTCCGAGATTGTATATTAATTCAATATATAACTTTGCTAAATAATGGTTCACCTTAATTTTGTGCTAGCATAGTGTACTACGCGCATGTTACTAGTAGCTTGAAAATTTGGAGTTCAAAGAACATACTAGCTTTAGACTTTAGTACCTCTGAGGCAATTTAGTGTTATTTGTACGTTTAGAGCTGACAAAATTGATATTCTTTTTTTGTCTTACAATGGCAATCTACCAGTGGGAAGCAAGTGCAACACATCACGTCTATCATGGACAGAAAGACTACGAATTGCACTTGAATCTGCGCAAGGTATGTACATGAAGGCAGAGCACACTTCTTTGTGTTGTCAGTGTTTGGTGTTTCAACTTTCAACAAACTTGACCAGCAACTGGTGTGTTAATTTGTAGGGCTGGAGTACCTACACAAGGGTTGCAATCCACCCCTCATCCATAGAGATGTTAAGGCCACCAATATTTTGTTGAACGCGAGACTCGAGGCTAGGATCGCTGACTTTGGCTTGTCCAGGGCCTTTGACGACAGCAATGACACCCACGTGTCCACAGACACGCTCGTCGGTACCCCGGGATACGTAGATCCAGAGTACCAGGCGATGATGCAGCCAACAACCAAGAGTGATGTGTACAGCTTCGGAGTCGTACTACTGGAGCTAGTCACAGGGAAGGCGGCCATCCTGCGAGAGCCGGTACCCATGAGTATCATCCAGTGGGTACGAGAGCGGTTGGCACAGGGCAACATCGAGGATGTGGTGGATTCAGAAATGCTTGGAGATTACGATGTCAACAGTGTGTGGAAGGTTGCAGACATTGCACTCAACTGCACCTCACAGATGTCGACACATCGACCCACCATGACCGATGTGGTGATGCAACTACAAGAGTGCATTGAGCTCGAGAAGGCTCATGGTGGAGGTGATATCGCAAGCCATAGGTTTTACTCTGGCAGCAGCAGTGAGAACCCGAACTTGAGATATGATGCTTACACCACTAATCAATCTACTAATGCGATCCAAAACAACACTACATTTGAGATGGAGCATAATTTGAAGAGAGTGCCGACAATGGCTACTGGTCCTTCTGCACGTTGAAGACTTCTATGTATCATTGACATGCTTGTCTAAAGGCAAGTGTCAATTATGTAGTTTATGTTTCTTTATATCTCTGAGATTTTTGAATTGCTTGCTTTCACCTAAGTGAGTTGGAGTGTAAACATGCTTGTACATTTTTAGAATTCTAAATAATACTCGAGAATCAGTGTGTTGCAACAGGGCCGGCCCTATGTTTTGGGAGGCCCTAGGCGAACTCGACAACATGGGCCCCTATGTCCTAAGTCCTAAGATCATATATATGTATGCATGTGCGTTATATATATGACTTATTAAGAGTAACTTTTAGTCACACATCTTTAGTTTAAAATTTGACTATAATAATTCAAATGACTTCATCCAGACCAATAATAACCAAATTCGAACTGATTCCATCAACAACAATAATACTAAAAAATCGCAAAATGAAACTAACATGACATGATTAATTACCTCAAATAAGAACCAAATTAGACTGACTCCATCGACGACAATAATACTTCAGTGCTTCAAAAAAGGTTTCTTCGGGACTAGTTTCTTGCCCATGTTCTTCAATGACATCAACATTGCTTGAAGATGTAAAGAACTTATTCAAAGAATCCTTCAATGGTAGAATTTTCGGATCACTTTCTTTCTTTTTCCTTCTTGTTTCAGCACCCCACAATTGGTTCTTCTTAGGTAACATGGCAGGCTAATGTCCTAAAATCATGAAGAAAAGATCAAAAGAGGATACAAAAAATTAGGAATTTATACATCGGATGATTGGAACCCTAGACATGTACATAGAATGACAAAAAAAATGATTGATTGAATTAGAAAATTTAAAACTTCATGCATACTGAAATTGGAGAATGGATCATGGATGTATAGTTGAATACGTAATTAAATACTAAATAAAGAATAAATAAAGTACTGAAATTGTCAAATTAGGGTTTGGGGGATGGACTGGAATTGACGAACATGGATGGAAACATTCAAACATATTTTAGGGATTGGGGACGGCCGCGTTGCAGACTTCAAGACTTGTAGTCGCCAGTCGGATGTATACTTGTATACGTATTGCCGCGGTGCCGCCTTGCCGGATGCCGGATGGCCGGGCCGCTGGGTTGCTGGACTGTCGTGCGGCGCGCCGCGCGTGCAGCTCCAGCGGGCAGCGGGCCAGCGGCAGGCGAGGCGGGGATGACACGACAAGGCGCCGAGCGACGGAGCGAGGAGGCCGACGGGCGTCACGGCACCTGACGAACCTAACCTACGAAGGAAAAGGAAAACGAGCAATCGTCTGTCTGCCAACTGGCGTGAGTCACGGTGTCGCTTCGCGACTTCGCGTTCGTTAATCGATCAGCGATGGCTTGCTAGCTATCTGATGGGCCTAGCCCATCTTATTTCTTTTCTCTAGTTCTTTTGTATTATTTTTACCTATTTTTGTTGGGCTATAATATAGATATATACTCTGTCATGGGCCCCCCTCCTCGCCTGGGCCCTGGGCCGTCGCCCCGCCGCCATACCCCCAGGGCCGGCCCTGTGTTGCAATTATGCCCTTGATGCAATACCAAAATATTTTATTTTTCCATTAGCTTCACGATTTCTACCCTGAATAATATTCTGGGAATTGTTTAACATTTTTGTGATTCACCTTGGGAAAGAAAACTTGAATGTATATGAGTATTATTCTAAAAGTATCTTTGGTGGGAAAATGTATGCGGATTCATGATTGAGTTTCCTGGTCATTGATATGGAGATATCAAGGTGATATTCTGGAAATCCAATAATTGAACTGGGGTTGGATAGAGCCACTTATGAGATACCGCGAGAGTGTCATCTTATCATCTCATTTGTACATATCATAGGCATTATGTCTATATCCTTTCACCCGAGATCGTGGCATGTACTCATGATGGGAACTACTTAGAGTTTGTCAATCTTTACTCCATAACTAGGTAATTATAAATGTGTTTTTCAGGCTTACTGAAAAGCAATGCTATGAGATGTAAATTGAGCAAGATGAGCTTTTCCCCTCCACTGGCGGATAGGTATCTCTGCGCCCCTTGAGTGATCGATTTTCGGAAATGCTTGGACATGCTTATGATTAAAGAGTTAATCATATTTCGGAGATTTCCATGCAAGTATCAAGAAGGCGATCAACCAGTAAACAAGGATGACTACATTGCCACTATAAATTTTCATGTGGCAAAATTATTGCATATAATAAGATTCATCCGATATAATCTTTATATATACGAGAATAAATAGGAAATGCCAGGGTCCGCTATCCATTATTGACTGGGAAAGTGTTTTCGGACATGCTGTCGATCTTTTTGGGTTCGGATAAGAAGGAGCTGTAGAGGCTGGCCCATTGGATGAGCTAATCATTTGTTGCCATTGGGGTGAGTAGTTTACCGAGTTAAAGAATTAAGGAAGAATTTGATATTGTTCTCATTCCGGCTTAGTAGTTCGGTGCATCTATGGGGTGTTTGGTTCAAGGACTTTTTAGTCCCAGAGACTATAAAAAATTCCTAAAAAGTCCTTAGGAACCAAATGGGGGACTTTTTCTACAGGGACTAAAAAAGACTCTACTGGAGAGTCTTTTTTGATTAGTCCCTGGGGCTAAAAAAAGTCCTAGGACTTCTAAACCAAACACCCCCTATATATTTTTGCCTGACTTGCTGTGTGGTCGCATGTGCATGCCCGCCAAGCTTGCGACCAACCTCACAGCAAATGTATGCATTGCATACACAAATCACAACGCATTGGATCATGCTCGACGAACTGGACTATGTAGTCATACATTGATTCATCGAGGCTCTGATTACACCGGCGTGATGGATGGATGCCGGATTTATAAGCATGAGAGTAGTTTTTCAGCTCCCGGGTGCCCCTACACCCTTTATGAACAGTAAATTCACAAAAAATAAAAAATAATTCCAAAAACAATTACCAAACTTTGCAACATCAAATATAATCAAACCTTATAGGTTCTTGCAAGTTTCATGTAAAAAAAACATCGAGGAGCTTTACAATAGAAAAAGATTTCAGTGCTTGAAGTTTTGAGCACATTTAGCACACTGAAATCTGAAACTCGTGCATACACCTTCCTCTACATGATATTTTGTTATGAAAACTTGCAAGAACCTACACTGTTTGATCATATTTGATGTCACAAAGTTTACGATCTTTTTGATTGTTTTCTATTTTTTTATTTTACTGTTGATAGAGGGTGTAGGGGCACCCGGGAGCTATCACATCTTTCTCTTATAAGCATAGATTGTGGTCTCCCGGGGAAGGTGAGCTACGTGTTGGAAATATGAGCAATTTACCATATGATTTAATTGACGAAAATACTAGATAAAGCATGACTAATATAGCAGAGATAAAGCAGGTCATGCAATCTGACAGAGAGAGAAGGTAAATAGCATCTGCATATATGAACTAGAATCGAACACATCTAGAACATACACTAGAGCAAGAAGTTGTGGCAGAACCTCTAATAGAAAGAGTATGAGAACGTACGGAACGGAAGAAGAAGCACTGGTCTTGGGTCGGTGTTCTCGCCAACCATGTCGTCGAGGAGGTTGTCGACGTCGGGAAGAAGTCGTCGTCGGGGAAGTAGTCGTCGAAGTCCGGGGCGGCCGTGACAAAGAAGTCAGTAGTCGCGCAGAACGCTCCCCAAAAACCATATCACCCTTCTCCCGTACAGGACTCAAAAGGTGTAGTTTCGGAAGCCTACTGTCCCGACCTAGGGTGCATGCCGCAAGCCGGGATGGGGAAGACCGTAGCAGTAGCTCAGTGCTCAGGAACTCGGTGGCGAGTGGAAGAGAGTCTTTTGGTGTGCATCTCTTGAGAGGAGAGACCTACCTTTTATAGGCACAGGAGAGAGGCGAGAGGGCAGCATCAGAAGGTGAAACGAAAAGACGGAGACGAAGCGAACAGCCAGCAGCCGAGAAGTTGCACCGTTCACATTCAGTCTCCACTATCGAAAAATCTTTTCAGCTTCCGTGTGACCATTCGTATACCAGTCGTGCGTGGCAAAAATTTCGACATCGGCTCGTTGCCGCGACCCGCGGCGCGGCATGGCAAAGCGGGCGGCGGAGGAGGAGCGCGTGTGAATGTCCCTCTTGTTCTCATGCTCATACATGTGGGAAAACATTCCCCCTTATAAGGAGGTCCAACTCCCACCAAACTAGCAATATGGGACTAAACTTTAGTTCCACCTCTTGCGTTGCACGAATGGGCTATGTGGGCCACTAGGATTTATTAGGAATTTCTAAAACTGCTATTGGGCAGGCCCAAAATAAACAAAACTCCAGCAATCCCCCACTAGATCCCAGAGGCACACAAAATTTGCCTTTGGTTCCAAAAAACTGTTTTATATACCGGTACTGCAGTGGAGACTGTTAAGTTGAACTTTCACCTAGAACTCTATGCTACACTAGTAAGAAACTTAAACAGTGGACTGGGCCTTGAACTGCAAGATTTCTGCGAATCTAGCTTCACATAAAGCCTTGACTGATACTACGCTACCGTGGGTCTTCCCCGCGGTTGGAGCTTATGTGTCATACTCCGAGACCTTTCATGAGTTTACTAGAGCGCACCCTACTCTCATAGATTGTGACGTTTAACAATCAGACTCATATAGGTGTGTTCTTCAAAAGATGTTCTGCAGGACAACATTTCTGCTTTAATGAGCCACTTAGAACACATTAATATATACATCAACCTGCCATGCAGATTAGGAGAGTATTGCATCTTAATGGAGTGGTATTGTTAATAGCAAGGATACTCTCCTCTCAGTTGATCAACAGCTTGTCTCCACATCTAATTCACGGGATGTCCGATCACATAGACTAAGTTACCACTGTGAAGAACTCATATTTTGGGTCTCATACCCATCTCCTTTGATGCATTATCTATCACATTACGTGATAGACCCTTAGTAAAAGGATCTGCCAGATTTTTAGATATAATCCAATACAATAACTCTGGAGTTTTTCATTTTCCTAACAAAC